TTGGTTTGCTCAAGCTGAAACTGCACATCTCTATCAGTTTATCTGTTCTAATCATGTGAAGGATCACTGCTGCAGGGTTACAGGTTGTTTAAGCTTGTCCACTGCAGTGATAAACACATCCACTGTGAACCGCCGGGAAACCAGAAGCAGATTGCACGAAACCATAAGTAGTTTTTGGGCGCTCCTGTAACAGCCCCAAAAACAATCGGAAAATCATTCATCACAACAAAAAAAACTCCACTACTATAATAGTAGGACAAAACAAACAAAACACAAAAAATCAAAAAAAAAACAAAAAAAAAAAGGAAACTTGTAGAGATTTTATCTCTCTAAAAAAAAAAAAAAAAAAAAAGAAACAACAACAACAACACTCCAACAACCGACAACAAGTACCAACAACACGGAGGAGAAATGGCGCTACACACAAAAAACACATCACAACACTAAAATGTCTCCACACGCGACACCTATACACGCTCTGTAAAAGAGCCCCCGCGGGAGAGAAAAAACCCCCAAAATTTGTCAAAAGACACTGAGTCGCACAGCAGACTCAAAAACCGCTTTTGGGGATGGCGAAAAGAACACAAAATTTTGTGTTTCACAAAAAAACAGCCGAGAAAAAACAGCATATTTAAAAAAAACATATAAAAAAAACACATAGAAAAAAAAAACAAAAAAAAAAAACAAAAAAAAAAAAAAATCTAAGCTCAGAGTTTGTCAATATTCTGGATGGAGTCTGTTGAATAGTTGACATCTTCGACATTTTCTGGTTCTGACTAATAATTTTGGTGTCTTGACAGATAACTGCAGCAATGCATTATAGTGATTATTCATCCATGTATGCACACTCATGCCCAAGTTCTCATGTGGCTTCATGCACATCGCTTTCAGTAACTATTGTCACATGCCCTGGACATTGTAAGGAAACCACACTCCTGCTTAAACTGAACTATTAAACTCAGGCAACAAAAAAACGTGATAATTTCTGATAACGATCGCATTAACAGTGATGAAAAGGCCTTTGTGCACAAGAGCACAAGTGGCCTACGTGACCTGATGCTCGAACCCGTGAGGTTTCAAAGGCACACATCAAAGTGATAAAGGCCTTCAATAGCACCTATTATGTATCGAGGGCTGAGCTTCCACCTGACTGTGACAGCTACAGGCCATGAAACTCCAAGCGCACAGTTTGAGACTCAGGCTGCTGTTGCTACACACACACAAACACACACACACACACACACACACACACACACTCGCACAGTCTCGTTGCCATCATTGTCAGAGGGCATTACATTTATAGACACTATTTTCCTGGAAAAATTACCCAAACCATAGCTGCCGAACCCGAACCTTAAACCTGAACTTCGTACTAAAGTTTAATGATTTAAGTTGAGGACACTTTTCTGTGTGACTGTGATCACATGAGAAATAAAACTACACAAAAACACAATTAATACAGTGCTGTCTTACTCCACAAGGTGGTGCCAAACCAAACCTGTGCCGTCCCGCTGCATCTGTCCAGTGGGGTTACACGGTTCATAATGATTTCCTATTTCCTATTATGAGCTGACCTAATGATCCGTGTCCACAGTAACGAGAAGACACAACATACACTCAAACCTCAGGTAAACCAGTGATTCAACACTGCATCACTGAAACCGCAAGGAAACAAGACAAACAGCTTCCACTGTCTGTGAACATCAGAGCAAAACTGGACAAAGCATCGACTAGGAGAAGGTCAAAGTTCAGAGCAGAGCCAGACCAAGGAGGTTATTCATATCTGGTATCTCTCAGACTCACTGGGGTTCCACATCAAAAGCAACCCGTCGCTGATGTGCAGAAACTGCTCACTATGCATTTGTTTGATCCACATTGACTCATTTGTGTAGGGACAAAAAACTGTTGTATGCTGTGCAGATTGTAAAGGCCCTTAAGACAAAATAAATAGGCTATCAATAAGGAGAGCAGTCAGAAAAACAGTCTTCACCAGGCTCCTATCAGAAAGTTACTGTTCAAAAATGTTTTCCATTTACCTTTGATTACGAGACCTTTCATTGGTTTTAGTTATTGATTCATACAACTACCTAAATCAAAATTCAGTGAGCAGAAAAACATGTGCAAACATTGAACATAGGGACCTTAATCAATCACTATAATTACTGGTAATAAGAGGAGATTTGTGTGATGAGACCAGCTCCCTGTCGAGAGTCAAAAACAGACTCAAATTACAGATGAACAAATAATCAAAATGAGAAATGATAAAGGTAAAGCAGATCAAAACAAACATTTTTTTAAGTAATCTGTGTTGATTCTCAGTCATTCAGGTTTCAGTTTGCTTTTTACAGAAGCTCTTAGGATTTTAAATGAAGCTCTGTGGTGCTGCAGAGATGCCTAAAAATCATATCCTCCAGATGTAAGGGAACATGCTTGTTTGGTACAAAACCCAGAAAAAAATCGTTTTAATTTATCTCTTTTTTTTCTCCAGTGGAAAAAGAAAATATATCCAAAAATATACAATTCCTACTAAAATCACGACTCATATCACAAACTCATATCACAGAATAAATAAAGGGCCCATCAGTGAAGTGCATGTAAACCCACACAGCATTCAAGTCCACATACGACCATACTTTATTGTACACAAGAAAAAGATCAAGTATATTCCAATGCATAGTATGTCAAATGCAGTGTGCCAAAAACACCAGGATGTCCTCCTGCATCTGGTCACATTTTGCACTGGGCTTTTGTGGCCACGATCCCCTTTGCAGCAGAAGAAACGTCACATATGGTTTCTGCACAAGTACGAGCAAGTTTGGATGACAGATGACAGCTCATTTACAGATGTGACAGATGTGTGAGTGAGATGATTAAAGCTTAAGGTGCAATATTAAGATGAAGTGGCAGCTGTATGCACACCACACGCAACAGTACGCACTTTGTAAGAGCAGCTGTCGTACAAACACTGAAAGTAAAATAATGCAATTTGGAACCCCGGTGTGTCAGAAGCTGGCTAAAGCATATTTCCTCTGTATTGTCTACGTCATAGACAACATGTTTAGAACTGAACCATCTCTGTGACGGCCACAAGACGAACCTGAAAGCTCTGTAAAGTTTCTATGAAGTGCTGCTTGTGCTAAGAAGGTTGTTGTCAAACTACAATTTGATGAAGAATCTTTAATTTTTCAATGGATATTCAGCAGATACATGCTTCACTGTAGGAGTTGAGTTACTATTAGACAAAAAAAACCCCAATAGAGGTATGATTTATGTGTCAAGCTTGAAAATTTGCATCAGGAGAAGGCTGATCTTTTGAAAAAAAGCTAATAAGATTTCGCTGATTACTCACTGGTGGTGGTTTGTTAAGGCGAACATCGATGCTTATCAGTTACACTAAGGACTTCAGTTCTCTGAGAACTCTTCAGACATGGCTTGTACCCATTTATGGCAAATAATTGTAAAAGTCAACATTTCTTAAGTCAGCTGGGATAGGCTCAAGCTCCCCAGCGACCCTGCAGAGGATAAAGCGGGGTTTAGAAAACGGATTGAATATTTGTTAATAAGCAAAAAAAATAAATAAAAGTGCTTAGAATGACCCAAATGTCATGCATGACTACATTTAGCAATAGAACAGTTACTCTTTTTCCTTAACACACACAAATAATGGACAAAGAAAATATTTTGACATGCCACTTCTGGAGGGAGAAAACTGTTTTTATGGTCACAAAATCTCATCTGAAATCTCTGCATGTTAACCTGCATTTCTTATGGTCAGGCTTACAAACCACTGTTTTAGCCAAACTGAATGCATGTAACATTGTGAGCACAAATCCTTGCTTGTAAAAAATACTACACATATTTTTGAAAACGTGCCATGGACTAATAAATCCCATGTTTACATTGTTTAAAAAGTACAACTTTTGCTCTCAATGAACATACCGTGGGTACGACTTCATTACTGCATTACATTATAAACTCTAACACACTCTCCATGCGTACTGTATGTAGAAACAGAAGTGACAGTATGAAAAATATTCTGGGAAAATACCATGCAGCCTGTTGTCATGGCAATGTCTGCACTTATCCCTCCTCCTCTGCCTCTGTCTGTGGGTGGGCTGCACCATTCAGGATTAACCTGGATTAAATCATCTTGTATTTAACAATTCCGCTGCCACAGAATTTCAAACTTTAGTCGGAATCTACAATCTTACACCTCGTAAAATACACATATTTTATCAGCTGCTCCCACCATCTCTGCCTCCTGCTTCGGACAGTTTAGAGGGTATGGATTTGGAAGGAATGAGCTTGAAACAGCAGATGTGGTTATGTTTAGTGGTGAGTTTACTTAGAGGCTGCTTATATGAAGTGCTCAGATCGGGTAATTTAATATAAACTGTTGTGCATATTTTAAACAAGTCCATCATGTGGTTTAATGGCTTAAACTACCACAGTGGATGTGGTGCAGATCAGCCCATAAAATTCATCCATTTGAAATAAAAATGGCTTCATGTTTGTCTTACAACAATCAACACTGCAGAAAGCTTGCATTAAAAAACTATAAACAGATTCCACCTCGCATTTCCCTCATTTTTATGTGTGTTTTTACACTAGGTCCAAATTTTGTGTTTGATCTGCAAGATAAGTCACAGTTTGGACTTTTGTGAGTTACAAAAAAGTGAATATGCTTCATCACTATTCTACTCACAGACTTGTGTTTTAGTCCAATTTCTCTCCTCCTCTGGTTCAAACTAGCCAACAGTAGCCCTTAAACAAGAGTAAAATAGAGGAAAAACAACACTGTGCATTGTGCCTCATGGCAAAATATCCAGTGGTATGTATTTGGATGCGTCTGTGTGTCTTTTTAAGTGGGAACATGTAGCTTGAACGGATCTGTGAAGTGTGCAGGCGTTGAGAGAACATGTTGTTAACACCAGCTTCAATCTGCTTCCCCTCATCGTCCCACTTAGCCTCCCCTGTGGAGGCGCAGCATCTGATGTTACCTGACGTTGTCGTGCTTCTGGATGTAGATCTTGTGAAACATCATGTCTTCCTGCTTGGCGTTTATGTCGGCCTTCATCTCCATGGCAACGTGGCGGGGAAGTACTGAGAGCAGGAGACGCTCCTGCAGGAAGGAGGACGGAAGGAAAGCGAGTTCGGTGAACAGTTGAGAGGAGGCACAGCGACTACCACACCTGGTGATGAATAATGGTGCACTTTGAACCATTGTGTTTATAGAAATGACACAGTGCAAGTCTCAAAGTCATTAGAGAAATTAGCATTATTAATTAATGATGATTCAAAAAAGAAACAACACAAAAGGGAAGCATCCTCCTATACGTCCTCTGGTGTCCCCCGGTGCAACAGGATTGCATTGGAAGAGTTCATTTTAAAACTATAGTATACAACATACATTTTACACCGAGCGGCTACAACCAGAATGACTCAGTGACATCTCAGCTGTGGCAAATTAATCAGATCAGAATTTTAATAAGCTGCGAGATCCTTCAGATGCTAATTGGTGAGAAGAAACACCTGCTATATTGTAAGTCAGCTTGCTGTCTTATTGCATATTAATGCTGGAAAAGTGTAACACTTTGTAAGACTAATCATCACTTCGCTAATTTTTTTGGTATGCATAGAGATTTGGTGTGAAACTCAGGTGCCACTTAGCTGTAATTCAGGTTTGACAGAGGAGGCAAATTGGATGGGAAAACGCACCAGTTTTTAAATGAGACACAAACAGATGTAAAGTATGCCTGGTGATCACGTGTGAGGAATTTATTCAGCTGCTTAATCGTTTTATTTATCAGCTCCTGAAGCGACTCTTTCCAATGTTAGTGCAAGTGAATCTTATATAAATATATGCCTGCATATACACAATGTTGCCTGGCTGCAAATCTATTCTCTACTTTGTGTGTGTGTGTGTGTGGATGGGAAATCTGTGTTATTGCTCCTTTGATACAGCAATATGTCACCCTGGCTATTTTATATCAGGAGTAAAGCCTGATACTGTATTAAACAAACATTTTACAGCTGCTGTCTTCCACTGTTCACACCTCGACTTCAAGCTTACAGAGTCTCATGTTCAAAATGTAGGTTTCTTTGTGAAGTATTCAATATGATGTTAATACTTCCCCTGTATTCTATCACCAATCGTCTCTCCTACCTGCTGCTGGTTTTCCCTCTGCGAGTGCAGGCGAGCCTGGATGCACTCTCTGGTCTCCTGGAAGGCCTGCCTCTGGGAGCCCTCAGCAGGGTAATGGGTGCAAACGCCCACAATGTTGGTGCAGGAGAAGATCAGCACGTTGGACACTATCTGTGGAGGAAGAAGGTGCGAGAGAGAAGGAGCAACTTTGTGAGTCTGAGGGCAAAAAACTTCTCAAATACAATGACCGCAGATCAAATCCTGCAAAGGACATCAGTAGTTTGTTATTTCACTTTTTGCTTATCTTAGCCAACATAAACTGCAACTGATTCTGTGAGGAATCAGTCAATAAAGAGAATAAGTAAATGCTTATTTTTGCTTCTATCACTGTAAGAACAATCTGAATCCGTTTCTATCCAGTTAATCAAATCTTGAAAACACTTGTAAAGTTCCACCAGATGTGATTCTACAGCTGCAAAAATGTACTGATGGACTGATTATTCACCAACTTTGAGTCATTTTTAAAGGGATAAAACAAACAAACAAAAAAAAAACAATTAAAAACTTCAGGTTCCAGCTTTTTTCTTTCTTCCTCTATGACATTAGCAAACAACTTTATATTTTGGACATAAGACATTTGAGAACATAATTTTGGGCTTCGGGAATCATTGCTCCACATATTTCATCATTTTCTGACATTTATAGACTAAACAACTAATTGATTAATCAAAAAAATAATCATTTGATGAATTGACAATAAAAATAATCACAGTGACAGAAATGAAGTCCAATCAGCATTCAAGAGAGTATCTCAGCAACTTCTTTTGAGTATTTAAACAAACAACGTCTTAACATTTAGGCTGTAAATGTGCATCGGTTCTTAAATCCAAGCAAACCCATGGTGCAGTGATGTGAGAACAGAACACATTGTAAACGCATCTAAATTTAATCGACTAATGTGTCATCAGTGAGTAGCCCGTTAATGACATGCAGCTCACTGTGCAGCACAGATGGAACAGAACAGGCAGAACAAGTTTATTAATCTAGTAATTAAATCAGGACAAGACGGTGAATGTGGATTTGGGTTTTCAGTCTACACAGGTGTTTTGCACTTAAGTGGTAACAGCTGGAGAACCACAGTACAAAAAAGAGAGGGACGTTATCAACCTGCAGCTGCTGGGAACGGAAACTTCAACTGGAAATAAAAAGGAAAATATGCTGAAACATGTTGAGAACTTTAGCTGCTAAGTGTTCCCTGGAACGTCAGCAAGCACTTAACAATAGACACTGAGTCAGAGATTCAGGAGATTATAGCAATTTCATGACACTAGTGTGTTCAGTCTTTAAGTGCGCAGCTATATTCGTCTTCCCTGTAGAACACAGAACTCCTGCACACTCTCCTCTTACTTAACTGGAAACTTCACTGGAAATGCAACATTTCAGTCTTTGGAGCTTGAGCAGGTAAAGTGAGGGACAAAACTCATGACAGACTGGACAGCAGTGATGAGCTGTTCATGTCAGAGAGATGAATGCAAATTAATGGATTTTCTGATCAATTTTAGGATATACAGTGATGTAATTTCTTTGTAAAGTACTTTCCTAGACGTCCATTTTGACCACCAGCTGAAGGTTTGGTTATATCGGTCTGGCATGTTCTTCATCGTCGTCA